TGTACATATTTTGAAATTTGTATTACTTTTCGCGCAACATTGCGTGCAATATTTTCAATTTTAAAAGTAACAAAACTAGAATTTACTCAAAATCAGTTTCAATTTGTTTCTATCAACTTGTCGTAGGGCTAGTGCTAAATGTACTCTATAATATGACATAAACATCAGTTTGCTCTATTCTTTTCTTTTTCAAAAATTACTAAATTGTATTCTTTTTACTTTCTCTCGCGTCGTTAATATTTAAATTAGCGAAAATTTCTTCACATTACTTATGAGTATATGTGCTTTAATTAATGTTACATAAAGTTTCTCGAAAACTCAATAGTTTTCTGTGACAACTAGCTCAAAACACCGCATTTTCAGGAACGCTCAAACGCCATTTTCTAAAAAACTGATCCAAAGTTTTTTCTTCAAACTTTTCGAACGGATAGAGCTAAATGCGCTGTTAAATATGATGTAAAGTTCATTTCGGGGTTGTTTTTTTTTCAAAAATTACCCCCCCCTTTTTTTTCAAATCTCTCTCGCCGTTAACATGCACACTTTCAGAACTTTGTAAACACTGTTGTATATGTGAATTAGAGTGTTTGAAATGAAGTTTTTCGAAAACGCAAAAATTACCTCTGAAAAAGGGGCTCAAATTTCGAATTTACGGTAGCATTTAACTCCATTTTCCTAAAAACGGCTCCAATTATTTTTTTAAATTTCAATTTAGGGAGAGGTTTTACTGTTTTTTAATATCCATAAAATAATGTTTCCGTTCTATTATTAAAAAACAGAAAATTAAGAAAAATTCAAAAAAATGTAGTTTGGGCGGCGATAGCAAGAGTATGTAGCATGTTCGTACAGCTAGCCGAGACCAAAGGAAATAGAAAACTAATACGGGAATGTCTGTGCCATTCTGTAGAACTACTAGTTATTACCTGACAAATCACAGCCCGACTGCATTCCGTTTCGTTCACAAAATGTTTTAGAAGGAGATAACATTTTAATTCAGTTTGCATTCATAAGTATCACAGATTCATGATATACATGTTCTCGCTCCAGTTCAGAGAAATCCTCAAACTCACGTGAAGGTGGCATTATCTTCGGAATTGTGTACAAGTTAGTAGGGTACGATTATCGTAATAGGAGGTTTCAAGTTTTATTTCCACAAACCTGTAAGTGTGGGTTACGACGTTGGCAATGCTCTAAAAGGACGCAAAAATGTTTCTTGAAAACAGAAGTGTATCAATTATAATCGATTAATATAACACTAAGCAGTCCACGGTAAACGTGAAAATCAATCCCTACACTAACGAGGAAAACTGAACATCGAAATATTAAACATATTAAACATATTAACGAGTGCAATTACCACTATCCGTTCGAAATGTTTCAAGAAAAAATTTGAGCTAGTTTTCACAGAAAACGGTTGAGTTTTCGAAAATCTTTATGTAGCATTATTTAAAACCCATATGCTGATAAATATAATACTGTGAACTAATTGACGCTAATATAAATATTAACCACATGAGAGGCAAGTAAATTTTTTTTCGGGCTCAGCATTTTTGGGGAAATACGAAAACGCTTTAGAGAAGAGTTGACCGCAGGATGCAGTCGGTAGTACACGCCCAGTTTCCCTTGCCTCCCCGCGACTCACCGTGCGCGCGCGCGTGCGCCTGCAGCAACGACGAGCGGCTGGACATGCTGTGGGAGGCCGTGACTTTGCCGGCCGAGCTGCTGGGGTCGCGCGGCGTCGTCATCGGCATCCTGGGCCGGCCGCGCTCCGACTACGACCCCATGCTGGCGCCGGTGCAGAAGGAGGAGGACACCGACCAGGGCGCCGAGCCGCTGGGCTCGCTCGTGCTCGAAACCGACAAGGAGGTGCGCTGACAAACAAACAAACAAACAAATAAATAAATAAATAAATAAATAAATAAATAAATAAATAAATAAATAA